TATATATATATATATATATATATATATATATATATATATATATATATATATGTGTGTATATATATATATATAATATATATTATTTAAATATATTATTATATATATATATATATATATATTATTTATATATATATATATATATATATATATATATATATTTATAGTGATATAAATTTGTTCATATGTATGTATGTGTGTATGTGTGTAGTTCTATCTAAAAAAATTCAAGGATATTATATGAATAATGATCGCCTCCGGGTTCCCGTGCTAGGCGAGGATAATTGATTATATTTTATATGATCGACAGTTGATTCTATTTCATATGATCGATAGTTGATTCTATTTCAGGGCTTTATTTTATCCCATTCTGAATGTTCGCGATATTTGTGCCCAAAAAAACTGTACCAGGTTTACGTATGATATATATACATATGGTACATACGTATGCTATATTTACGTATGACATATCCGTATGATATATATACGTATGATATATATACGTTTGATAAGTATGCCTATCATAAACTGTATATTACGCGCAACGAATTGTCAGACAGATCCTCAAGCACGGATTGGTTTACTTCTTTATTGTTGAATGAACGAGATTCCACTCACGCCAAGTTGTGTGTGTATCACCCGAATCGTGCGTAACTGCAGCAGAGTGTGTTCCGCTGTAGACTTATATGCGAAGAACATTAGTTACGTAAAGGCTTAGAACATGTCATTAAACTATCGTATGAATATGACTCATTCAAACTTCCGCGTTTATATAGAAAACACGACTAATCAAACTTTTGCGTTTATATAGACATAGAAGTATCGCCACAGCGCACTTTATGATCGATGTGTCCATGGACTTTCGGCGTACTCTAACGTATTCAAATACGCGTTTTTGTTGGCGTAACACATTACAGCAAAGACAAAGAAATCGCGCGGAGAAAATCGATCAGCTCTCAAACTTCTGCCAAGTTATCCGCTCTAAAGAGACGACTGTCCATCAATAGCAAAGGGTAAGTCATTGACTATCTACGCATATGCTTGCATCTACGCAAGCACTCATCTCTACACATACGCTTATCTCTACGCATAGTTTTATCCATACACATACGCTTATCTCTATGCATACGCTTATCTCTATAGCACTCACCTGTAGGCTGTAGTTGTTGCCTTATAGCACTCACCTGTAGGCTGTAGTTGTTGCTGTATAGCGCTCACCTGTAGGCTGTAGTTGTTGCTATATAGCACTCACCTGTAGGCTGTAGTTGTTGCTGTATAGCACTCACCTGTAGGCTGTAGTTGTTGCTGTATAGCACTCACCTGTAGGCTGTAGTTGTTGCTGTATAGCACTCATCTGTAGGCTGTAGTTATTGCTGTAGAGCACTCACCTGTAGGCTGTAGTTATTGCTGTATAGCACTCATCTGTAGGCTGTAATTGTTGCTGTATAGCACTCACCTGTAGCTGCTTTTATTCCGGTCCGTCGGACTTTTCTCGGCTCACCTATAGATATCTCTGTCTCTATCGTCAATGAACTCGGATGTTCTATTCATATCGGCTGTGTTATTTATATCGGCTGTTCTATTCATATCGGCTGTTCTATTCATATTGGATGTTCTATTCATATCGGCTGTGTTGTTTATATCGGCTGTTCTATTCATATCAGCTGTTCTATTCATATCTGTTGTTCTATTCATATCGGCTGTGTTATTTATAGCGGCTGTTCTATTTATATCGGATGTTCTATTTATATCTGTTTTTCTGTTCATATCGGCTGTGTTATTTATATCGGCTGTTCTATTCATATCGGATGTTCTATTTATATCTGTTGCTCTATTCATATCGGCTGTATTATTTATATCGGCTGTTCTATTCATACCTCTTGTTCTATTCATATCGGCTGTGTTGTTAATATCGGCTGTTCTATTTATATCCACTGGGCCCTGTCAGCAGTTCAAAAGACAATCTGGTGATCTCCGGGACAGGCGGCGGCGAAAACACAGTCGCCGAGTCCGTTACACCTGAGCTGTTCAAACCTGAAGACGACAGTCCCCGTCCACACTCACATGCGCAAAAGACCACACACACACCCACGCACACACGCGACTTGCAAGAGCTCCCTGAGAGCGGGAATAGAGCACACCCACACGCCAACAGCGTAGGCGAGCACGACAACAACCTAGCACCACCACCCACACAACACGCACAGACCACTGGGAACGCCAAACAAGCAACGAGCATGTCAGCCTGCAATCTCACGCACCAAGGCACTGGCGGGAGTGGTTCTGTGAAACGAGCCGAGGGCACGGGCCAATCAAACCAAGCGTCGATCACGCGCGCGGAGGATGCGGGTGCCGAGTATAACAATGCGGAGGAGGCGGAAGCGAACGAACACCCCAGCAGCATGACAAAGGGCAAGTTTGGGGTGTCTGCACACAGTACGATGGAGATGGACAGTCTGAGAACACGCGCTAATTCCACACATGACGAAATAGCCAACCTGACACTGGCCGAAACGGAGAAGGCGCCGGAGACCTCGACATTCAACAGACGAGCGTCCTTGCCCCAGGTTCGTGCTATAT